TCCCAGGAGATGGACACTGAGTCTCTCTTTACCTCCTTCACCTCTAGGTTTGTTGGTTTGCTGGGAGAGTCCAGTACTCTGACGTTGATGAATGCCGATTTAGTGCCACTGCAGTTCTCAGCAGTCAACACATACTTTCCTGTATCATTTCTATTAACGTTCTCAATCAGTAACACTGTGTAGGAGCTTGTTACCTCAATTTGAGCCCGCTCACTGAGAGGTCCACCTTCCTTTGACCATTTAACCTCAGGCTCTGGCCTTCCCTTGATGGTGACAAACAGACGTAATGTGGAACAGGCTCGAACATTCACAATCTTCCTCAAGGCAGCGTCCAACTCAATCTCAGGTGCCTCCAATTTTTCCGCTGCTTTCACAGACCCAGGTAGTTCCACATGCTCTCCAACTCCGGCGGGGTTCATCGCACGAATGCGAAAATTGTACTCTGCATTTTCTTTCAGTCTCTTCACGGTGTAGTTTGTTTCCTCTATACCTGTGCTTGGTGTGCATACAACCCACTCATCCTCTATTGTTTCTTTCATTTCAACCATATATCCACTAATGACTGCTCCACCGTCATAGATAGGCTTTGACCAGGTCAGAGACACAGTACTACTGGTAAAATCTGTCACTTTAGGGTTGGTAGGAGGACCAGGTGGGTAAGTAGCTTCACAGACTTTTATATACTCACTTGGCTCACTTGGCGCACCCACACCAGCAGCGTTTTCTGCCAATACTCTAAACTGATAGTAATGTCCCTCAGTAAGCCCTGTGCATCGGAAACGCAAATCGTTTAGTCTTCTCTTGTTGCATTTAGTCCACCTGACACCTTCTTTGTCACGTTTCTCCAGGATGTAGCCATCGATCTCTGAGCCTCCATCACTCTCTGGCCTTTCCCATGTTAGTGCTATAGAGTCACCAGTCACAGCGCTTGCCGCAGGGGTAGAAGGTGCACTAGGTGTTGTAAAAGGGTTCTGTGCAATGAAGGGCTCTGATTCCAAAAATTCACCAACACCAAATTTATTCACTGCAGCAACTCTGAATATATATTCTTTTCCAGGCACCAGTTTTGTCACTTTGTAACTGACAGCTTCAACATGAGCATCAACCCCTGTCCATGTAACACGGCTGGTCTCCCTTTTTTCAATGATGTAGTGGGAAACACAGGCGCCGCCATCATTTACCGGGGGATTCCAGTGAAGATTACACTTCTCTGCACTGACAACTTTCACCTTCAGAGGCCCATCAGGAGGACCAGGTCTATCCAGGACCCTCACATTAACTGGCACAGATGTAGTTCCACCGACGTTACTAAGGATCAGTACAAAGTGGCCCCCATCCACTCGGGTACAGTCCCTGACAGTCAGAGTTGTGTGAGTGAGGGTGTTTTTGACCTCCATTCTCGGTGTAGTTTTGTCAATTTCTTTTCCGTCCTTCAGCCAAATTACATCAGGAAGGGGCTTCCCGAAGTAATCAGCTTCAATAACGAATGTCTCACCAGCCTGAACACCAGTAGCGCTCTTGAACTTAGGATCAATGAACGCTGTGGGTCCCTCGATAACATCCTGAGCGATGATGGTTACACTTTCTGAAGGTGTGCTCCAAACACCAGCACCATTCTTGGCAGTTACTCTAAACTCATAACTTTGGCCTCCTGTCAGACCTGTGACTGCGAACTGATTCTCAATAACATTGGTGAAGTTTGCCTTCATCCATCTGCCATCTGGGAGCTCCTTCTTCTCAACAACATAGCCTGTAATGGTGCTTCCACCATCATACTTGGGTTTTGCCCACTCAAGTGTGATGTTCTCTCTTGTGATGACAACAGCTTCAGGTTTGCCAGGCGGATCGCAGGGGTCTCGTGCCACATAACACTCAGATATTTGGCTGGATGAGCTGAGTCCAGCAATATTCTCAGCAAAGACTCTGAATTCATAGTCAATGCCTTCCTGCAGTCCACTTGTTTTGAAGCGAGTATTAGGTATAACAAGCTTGTTCAGCTTGGTCCATAAAATGCTGTTCTTCTCTTTGCGTTCTAGGTGGTAACCGATGATGGGGCTGCCTCCATCTTTGGTTGGAGGCTCCCATTCAACAACCATGCTGTACTTTGTTACTGTGGACACAAAGGGGGTTCCAGGGGAAGCGGGCACACTAAATGGATATTGTGCAATTACAATAGGAGAGGTGATTGCAGTACTCTTTCCGTACCTATTTTCTGCAAACACTCTCAACTGATATTCACTTCCTGTCTTCAGTTTGGTGACTTTGATTGTAGTTCTTACTGTCGTTGCTGACACTGTCTGCCACTCTGTACTTGTAGTTTCACGTTTCTCCACTATGTAGTTGTCTAGCTGACAGCCTCCTGTGTATTCAGGCGGCTCCCAGGAGATAGTAACATAGTCAGAATTGACTTCATCAATCCTCACAGGTCCTGTGGGTGGGTCAGGTTTTTCAAGAACAACCACAGTGATTTCTCCTGTAAATTTCCCAGCACTGTTGCTTGCTGTGACTGAGTATTGACCAGAGTGCTCCCTCGCAGCATGTCTGATATGAAGAACTGTTAATGAAGGTGTAGTTGAAATCTCTAGTCTTGATGTCTCTTTAACTAACTGACCATCTCTTTTCCATTCAATCTTTGGCATTGGGTGCCCAACCACCGGGATCTCTACTTTCAGATTTTCACCATTCTTGACACTGAATGTGCTGAAAGTTATCTGGAGCGTTGGCTTAATAGCATTTTCCTTATCTGTGGCAGAGCCAGGTGGCACCCTTGGGTTGTGTTCTCTGTTCTCCGCAGAAGTGTCAGATGAACCTGGTGTGAAGATCAAATAAGCATTAAATAATTATAATTAATTATACATGATTCATATGGTTATTGATAAGCCAAATTAATCTCTTTGACCTTTTAAATGCATTTGAGTAAACACATCAATCCATTTCAAAATATGGACAAATTATTTAATTTGGTTTGCATGTAATGATTATAATTTGTGTATTCTGAAAAATTACAAAAAACTGTATATTAAGTAGGAAAAAACAAAATGAGTCTTGTCCAGTTTGTTCAATACAAATGTGTTTACTGAATTTGTTGTTTTTTAGAATTGTTATAACATTTTAAACATGTTTAATCGAAATCAAAGTACAAATATACACTGTGTAGGCTACTAAGTGATAAGATGAATGCAGGACATACCTTGGACAATGAGTGTGGAGGGTGATTGAGAGTCCTCTGCTGTGAGCTGAGCATCAGTGTCTCGTGTCATATTTATATTTAGAGTGTGAGCTTTATCTTCTGCTTTCTCGCCCATCTACAAAAGAGGATGGTACAAAACCGTCAGAGGAAATGAAACGAAAGAGATACAGACACAAACACCCCCCACCCCCATTTGTTACTTATGTTTGGTTGTTTGTAAGTAAACTGTAGCTTTATGATCACATCTAAAAATCTGCTATACATATTTCATTATGATAGGATTTTGACGAAGGTAACATTAGTGTTTTAAGATGTGGGCTCTATTACTGTGGTGACTGTGATGTGTTGGTAACAGAAACTGGTTTTAAAAATAACTAGAGGCATGGTGGAGCAGACTACCATCTGTTCAGATAAAACTCTATTATTATCTAACTTTGAAAGCTCTCATTAGGTTTAAACCAGTTCACTTGAGCACAATTAGGAAAAATCACCCAAAAAAAGGAAAACTGAGGTGCCCACAACTCTTGCTATACTATTTCAATAACTTTCAATAACTAAGATAGTCCAGTATTACATTTTTAAACACAACTGTACTTACTGTATTGTTGCTTGCTTCCATCCTTTCTCTTACTTATCCTTATTTATATGTATGAGAAATGTAATGTGATTCAAAATCCAGCTTGTCCAGTTATGAAGCATCCACTGTGGTGATCCCTGACACACTGTTGCAGACATACACAGCTCTGCCAATCACCGCCTGCTTTATCTCCAAAAGCATGCAGTGACTAAAATAACCATGATGCCTGACTGGCCAGCTGCTCATGCTTTCAAAGTTAGTTGAGCCTACATAGGTCAGCGAGGAAAAACTGGAGCATTGCTCAACATTTAAATATTGTACACATACTATTCCAGTTATAGGGGGTTTACCACATTGCTTTACAGTTTAGATAACTTCTAAATACATTTGTTTGTGTGTTTGTTGGAGGGTGGGTGGGTTATATGTGTGTGAACATTTTAAGTGAACAAGACCCTTCCTGTGAGCAAATGGTCAGCCCTTACAGTAATAGGTAGGTAGGTCAAGGCTATGAAATACTTCACATATTGGCTACTTTTATCTGAATACATGCATTACATTTTCCTTGAGGAATATGTATTGGATTTGATTATGTTTTTCTCCCCTCCTTTATCAATAAACATGGAAAGATACAGACAAACAAGATACTTTTTCCTTATTCACAAAATACTAACAAAGATTGAGCATAAACACAAAAAATAAAAATGAAAATAAGTACATCAAATAAAAAGAAAAGGGGCTCATCTCAAATTAACTTGAATAAATCAAGTAAAGAAACTAACTAAAGGGCTTTTTTTATTATCCTTCATAAGCTTCAGAGACTTACTTAGGAATTTAAACTTGTTTAGCCATTGATTTATACATTGTGTAGTTTTACAATACCTGCATTCTTGTATAAAAACTTCCCTAATAACAGTAATCATTTGATTATGTAGCTATGTATAGGGAATAACAATTATAATATAGACAATATTTTTTTTCTACTTACCTACAAAACTGCAGATAAATGCATGAATATAGCCATATTATAATTATAATATAATTACTCTAATGTGAATGGATTCGATTTTAATATAGTAACGCAATGAATTTTTTTTCATCGAAGCATTTAGTTTGAAAAAATGAACCGGATATACAACAATAAACACCGACGAAGAAGAACACGTGCAACTACCACGGAAGCTAGCTAGGCATAGCCAACCCGGCGTTTGCAAAAATATGGAAGGAACGTAAAACTGCGAATATGAACAAGCGTTAGTTGTGTCTTTTTCACAAAAGCGTTAATCTGCTGTTTGTTCCAAGACGGGAGACAATGTCAAACTTAAAAGGTGAGCTCACTATCAAATGAACTCATGCTTGTGTCGTGACAATTACTGAGAAGCACAGGTGTCTGTGTCAGTGCATCTTTGCTTTAGACTGCTTGTTTTGTATGATGTAGAGTTGTCTATTGGTTTGTAGGTTTGGGAAATTGTGATGGACAGTTTGGTTGTTTTTTTCCCCTGATTGTTGACACTTCAATAGACAGTAATAAGTTGCAGCCCTGCTGTCCACTCCTGTGTGTGACCGGTCTGTCAGATGATTCAGCAGGATGAGACTTAACGACCACAATGAGCTTTCTTGTCAAATATCATGCCTCTTTGCCTCACCAGCAGATCCAACCATGCCGCTCCAGTATGTGTACACAAACCAGGACTTTGTAACAGACGTCCGTCGGAGCACTGACAGTAGTTCCGGGATGGCATCACCGCCAGCAAAGTTTGACACAACCATCCAGGCCGGCTGGGCAGACAGGATGGAGAAGGGGCTTTTTCGATACCATCTGGGTAACTTACAAACACGCATCCTGCCGGGTTCACGTGGCTATGTGGCCCAGTTGAATATTCAAAGAGGAATAGAGAGAAGAAAGCCTCAGGAGATACTGAGCATTCAGCAGGAGTTCAGTGCCAAGCAATTCAATTTTAACAAAATCAATCCAGAGGAAATCATATTTGAGATGATAAAGGACACAGAGAGAGGCACAGCTTTGCATCACAGTGGGCAGTTGCAACAGCCCTGTAGGATGGTCGTGTTGGTCAATGTCAGTCCTTTGGAGTTTGGACACTGTCTCTTTGTTCCAGATCCATCATGTTGTTTACCGCAGGTTCTGACAAGGTTCGCCATCCAGGTCGGTATTGAATCTGTGCTTCTGAGCTCTGACCCTGGCTTTCGTGTGGGTTTCAACAGTTTAGGAGCATTTGCGTCTGTCAATCATTTACACCTACATGGCTATTACCTGGACCACGAGCTCAAGATAGAATCTATGCCGGTCAAGCCATTGCTTCCTGAAAGGGGATTTTATCGCTTGTTGGACTTTCCTGCAGGGCTTTTGTTTTACACAGAATCAGAGGAGTTGGAGAAAGTTGCCAGAGCAATCTGTGAAGTGACAGACTTTCTTGTGGATGGTAACATTGCTCACAACTTGTTCATGACTAGAGGATGTCCACCCTGTGATCACAGACAGAACGAAAAGAATATCTGTTCAAGAAAAGGCGTTCGCATCGCTGTATGGCCCAGAATATCCTGCTTCGGTGCCAAAGAGGAGTCTTCCTTCAATGTAGCTCTTTGCGAGCTAGCTGGACATTTACCATTTAAGAACAAGAAGGACTATGAGCTCACTACTGAGAAAGATGTCATAGATATCATTCAGAGGTATGTCCTGCCTGATGAGGAGTTTCACAGGTTGGAACAGCAGCTTACTCGTCATTTAATGGGTTTATAATTTAAGGAAGCCTAGTTAAATCTTGTGCTAGAGTTACCAATCAACTAGATTGGATGCTGATATATTCAGTTTTCAGTGTTCCAAGTTTTTGGTCAGATAGAAAATGAGAAAATATCTTGACCCTGAATTATACTTATGGATCTCTGCAGAATCCCCTATCCTGCACCTAGCCTAAAGATAGCATTGGATGTGCACACAACTACTCTACAGAATATGTTTCAAAGTTTCCACTAAACTATAAAGATGATTACAAATATTTAGATTGATCAGTATTGTATTCATAAATGAGAGTGTGCTTTAATTGACCAATGGATGTGATGTAATGAAACTGGTATCAAATTAAAAAAAGCACTTTATCTAAGAACAAAAGTTTTGTATTTTTCTTTTTTTTTTTTTGAGTTCCACTTTGTATTTGTATGATTTGTATGTTAAAGCAAGTCATTGACCTTTTACACCTAAACAGGAACAGAGTATCTGCTATGAAGACGCAACAGTGTAATGTTTATGGATAAAGTAACAGAAGGAACACGGAGGCTCATCTTTCCAAGGCAGTGATGATGTTTATAGCTGAGTCTACGTCAGTCGCCGCTTCAGGACAATTCCCAGAACAGCATGAGGACGAGGAGGTGAGTCTACGTATAGTGGCAGCCTCTTGGAAAAATTACAATGAATAAAATGTGTTGCTTTCATGCTGTCCTCTTGTAGAAAAGGGAAACAGTCTCAAGGGTGGGATCATTTAACAGACAAGCAGTGTAGACAGAATATCACTGATAATGCTGATAACAATATGTGTGAAACTGAGCATGACTCACACTAGTTAAAAAAAAAAAAATTAAGGTGTGGCTTGGTACACTATAGTTGTATCAGGCCCAAATGAGAATTTGTAGAAGTTACTTGTAGCCACAATAATTATTTTTCACTAATAAACATTTGTCACAGAAGGAAAAACAGATGTGTCAATGATGAAATTAATAATTGCTAAATTCCATTTAAGCTGCTTTGGATGCAGGGTGCTAGCTCTTTGTCTCACTGTCATGGCTTACTGCAGTTTGTGACACCTGTGCTTTTACTACAGTAACAACTTAAAGTGACGGCCGAACCAGTAATAGAGGATGCGTAAGTGTAGTCACCACCTTTCTTTGCCTGATTGAAGCTTGGTTCACTCTTATGCTCTTCTTAGGGCACACACACACATTGCGCTGATGAAACATACAAATACAACACATGCAAAAGTCTCCTCAACAAGCCTGACAGGGGTGCTCAGAGGGATCAGTGTTACACATTATCCCCGAAGAGCACATCATCTGCCAGAATGACATCACCAAGGTTGCAGTGCTAAGCCGAGCAGTAAGATCAATGAGCATAGATACCCGCTCATTCATTTTAATGACCATCCTCATTGGTGAGTCCAAAACCAGTGCAATGATCTAATCAACTTCATCAACATAGCACCTTTCATATAAACATGCAGCCCAAAGTGATTCACAGATCAAAACGGTAAAAACAAAAATAGACTTTTCAAAGTAAAAAATTATGTCAATAAAATGTCAAAAAAAAAAAAAACAAGTTAGTGAAATAAATAAACGCAATGGATAAGAAAAAAATATGGAAACCATGATGAATACTTAAAACTAGGGTAAGAAATGACGAGGCACCTCAAATAAAAGCCAGGCTGAAAAGATAGTGTACGTGTCGGTGTTTCTTTTTAGAAATAGTCCACAAGAAACAATATTTTACTTTTGTTGAAATATATGTATGTATGACTTGCATATGTGCATTATGTGCAAATGACAACCATAAAAAGCTTAGGCTTGAACTTGGTCACTGATAGTTTAGATTTTTACTCACATTAAAAAAAAAATGTCTGGTTTCACCTGTCCTGTGCTCTATGTGGTTGGAAATCATATTTCTTTGCACAGAAAAAAATGAAACACTGGCTGGCTTGTTGGTGTTGGGATAAGTGAGAAAATGTTTTATAATTGCCGGTATGTCCAAAGAGAGTTGCCCTCATAGCCACAATCCTGTCATACCTCAGGGCTTGTTGGAGCCAGTCAGTGTCTTGTCACCACCATAGTAACCCTGCATAGATTGCTTAGTGGTTACAAATATGCTGTTTCTGTTGAGTAAATAATGGGACCTCAACAGTGATTATACTCACATGTACTGTATGTGTCACATGTTTTTGTTATAGCCTACACATATATCACTTTGTAAGCAAGCAGTGGAACTCAGAATGCTGGAAATATGATTTACCATGCATATCTTAACATCTTCCATTATTTATAATGATAATACAACAATGTTGGAGTTGGTTAGATAAGATATGTTCTTTGTAAAAGTTATACCTTTCAGTTAGCAGATAACTTCCTGTTCCCTAATTTCCACATATTCCACTCAGATGAGATTAAGACAAGGAACTCTGAGGGATGCAGCACCAAGTTTAACCTCAATAAGTTGAAAGTTTTTTGTTTTTTGTTTTTTTTCCCCTTTACAACGTTTTCCTTTATAGTGAGGCATCATAGAGAGTACTACATGAGGTTTACTGATGTCACATTAAAAATATTAGATTTATTTGGGTGGAGTAGGGTTAAATAAGACAATCATACTTGAATTACAAATCAGAATCATCTATTAGTTCTTAATTAACAACAATTTCTATTTGCAGGTAGTTCTGCCCACTTGTCCTCGCAGTTTCATCCGAGGATAGAAGAGAATCAACCACATGACATGAAGGAGCAGCTGTATGTCCCGTGTATTTGACCTTCCTGACACAATGCACGTGTACAGGACAGGTAGTTCCTGATCATCCTTACTATTTACTTTTGACAGTCCATGTGTATACAGTCACCCTTTTTCTGTTGTGAATGTTACATAATGCATATCTGAACTGACAAAGTTGAGAATACAGCAGATGCGTAATTGTGAACACAGAAATAATTTGCACAGAAGCATTACTTCTGTTCAAGTTGTTCATACATATTAAACAAATGGTGTCACATTTGTTTGCTCTGTTTCCTCTGCTGACAGAGGAGAAGATTGATACCGTTCTTACTACTAAAGCCGGAGCCAACATTCAGCTAGCTTAGTTTAGCATGAATACTGAAAACAGAAAGAAACAGCTAGCTTGACTCGGTTGAAAAGCAACTCTCAAGCTCACTGATTAACAGCAGAGCAGATCCTGTGCTGGTTGCCTAGCAACTTCTCCCAGCTGAGAAGTTGACCTAACCGTCCATAGAATGGGTCATTTTTGTTTTTCTGCTTTGGTCTTTGTATGGATTAAACAAATTAGATGAAAGGTGTAAATTTGTAAGGTGTAGAGGTGCAGGTAGTCAGATTTTGGACAGAGTCAGGTGTGTCCGCCTGTTCTTTATGCTAACCATAAAACCGTTTGCAACAGCGACATATTTACCCAACAAACATGATATCAATCTTCTCATCTAACTCTTGATGAGAAGGCGTATTTCTGAAAAAACTGAACTAGTCCTTTAAAGATTATCACATCCTCCTACATAAAACAGCTGTCTCTAGATGAAACATGGTGGTTTGCATACATTTTTTATCATGTTCAGTGTCTCAATCTGCTGAATCACAACTTAATGTACAAAATACTGAAGCAGTTGCAACAAATTTCCAGCAAGGTCCTCAGCAACTTCCCACCATAATGTGAATTCCTACAAGAGACAAAGAGTATATTTTCATATTTCAATAAACAATTGAACTGTATTAGTTAGTTGCTCCAGTTTTAATTGCAATACAGTATTTTGTTTTACAGTTTCATGTTTTCCGAATTCTTTCAACACGTTAACTAAATAAAAGACTTAAATGTTTAGGTAAAATTGATTACATTACAATGTCCCTATACAACAGCACACAAACAATTTGACTTTAGTATAAGAAAAAAACTGGACCCTTGTCTCAACCTGTGACGGTTGACTGAGTCAAACCTGTCATGCATCTTTCTAATGTGGCCCAGCACGGATACAGATTATTTACAGTTAATGCTTCACAGGAGATGAGAACGTCCCCACCCCCCTAACTAGCAGTAAGAACAGAAAACCTGTAGGTGCTTTACAAGTCAAGTCGATTTTTATTTGTATATAGCGCCAATTCACAACAGAAGTTATCTCAAGGCACTTTTCAAATAGAGCAGGTCTAGACCTTCTCTTTATAAGATTATTTGCAGAGACCCAACAGACACCTCTCTGTTTATTTACTATAGGGACAGGCTTCATGTTTTGCACAAAAATTATTTGTTTTTCTCTGATATGCAAAGAGTGTTTGTGCTAAGGGAGGGGGTTCCAAGAAAATTTCAAAGGTACATAATCTTTCTTGTTGGATGGATTATGAGCACGTGCAACCTAACCACATTAGTATAAACAACACAATTGATTTACAAGATGTAAATATCATCTCTCACCTGTCTGATGAGGATATGACGCATGCTTCCTCTCACCACAAATCCTTAGTAGCAGTAGAATTTGATGTTAGACTATTGTATTGTGGTTCATGCCAGGACAAAGTATTGAAAAATAAAATGATTAAAACAGACATTTAGAATCAAAAGATGTCCTAATGAAAAGATCACCTAAACACATGTCCTCACGTGAAAAGAGTCTAGCACATCCCAGGTGTAATGCGAAGGGAGTGACTGGGGGGGAGTGTCCTCATATTAAAGCAAACACCCATCTCTGTTCATCTACACTTGAACTGAAGATGCTCAGGGCCTTTAAAGGGTCTGTCCCTTTTGCAGAAGTCAGCTCAATTGAATAATTCAGCAACTCTTATACCATTTCAAAAAAAAAAAAAAAGAGAGAAAAGACTCAAAAGAAAAATTACTGAGAAACAAAAACAATCAAAAACAATGGGCTGTATTCAGAGCTTCAGGGAGTTGTGTGACCGTCCAAAAAATACTAATGTTCGTGTCAGTCTTCCAGCAGTTTGCTTTGTATGGCAGATAGCAATGATTATCTTGTTTGGGGTGTTTATTAGATACAATGAGGAATCGAGTCCATTCTGGATAGAGCACCGAAAAGCTAAAAATATATCGAGTGACATTGAGAATGATTTCTACTTCAGATATCCAAGTAAGTGACTTGATTTATATTTTTTCTTCTATTTCTAACTTTTTAAATGTCTAATATCTGATTTAGTTTACTCCTATTACATTTTTACACGTCTGTTATATTTTAAACCAAATGTCTATATTTTTTACAATATCTCTGTACATTTAGTTTTTTTTTTCATGTTTCACTTATATCAATATTTGGTTGAAAATTGTATGTTTTCATTGTAGTAAAATATGTTTCTACAGAGATACCAAGTTGATGATACTGTAGTTCTCAGATTATGTCGACCTATTATATTATTTCTACATTGCTGACAAGGATCTGACACCCGCAGGTGCTCATTTCCCCTGGGGTTTGACTCCCCTCAGGCTCTTTTTCCAGTTTAACTATAGCTGACATGTCAACACTTACCTCTGTGTCTGGATTTAAAGTGTATTTCTTTTTCGGTCATATATATTGTATCGGCTGGAATTTCGGATGTGAGTGTTGTGCTGAGTGAGTGTATTGCATGGGTGTGGTTGTACTGTACACCACCCCAACAACCCGCGGTGTCAGTGTCAGGCTATCATGAAGCCATCTCACATATGGTGTTGGATGTCGGATGATGGATGTATGTCCTGGCACAGGTTGTTGTCTGAGACCATTAAGACCTCATCTTAAAGTCACAGGACCTTTTTGTTTTTCCAACACAACGGCCATCATCAGGAGGATAGTCTGAAACATTTGAAGCCCTTGTTGTTAGTGAGGTGAAAATATGTTCAGTCTGTTGTGATATAGCATTTATTACAACGGATTTTTTTTTTTTTTTTGTTGCAAATTCTTCTTTGCAAGCTATCATTTTTCACAATACAGTGGGAACCTATCGTGTGCCCTGAGATGTGTCGGGTGGTCACAGTGTTATGTTGTGAACAATACTTGCTTTTTTATGCTGGTATCCACATGTCGTTGTCTGTTACTTGTAGCAGATGTTACAAGTTCATCTCACAGTTAATATCGGCTACAGAGGTTAGTACCTGTATAAGTACCTTGATATAGCATCACATCAACAAGCAACAGTATATGCATAGTGTGATGTCCATCTTCACATGATTTCCTCTTCTTAACTAATATGTCCTCATGTGTCCCTGCACTGTGGTGACGTGATGTGAAAGCAAACTGTTCATATAGTACATACAGTGTCTCCACTGGCATATCGGTTCACTCAGAACTGTGTACTGTTAATATTAAATGTTACTTATTTAGAAGAGAATAAGTTTTATAACCCTGATTGCCAAATTAACAGTGTAATGATTACACTATTGGATGCAATTATGATTCAATGACATATATTTGAATGTGTTTTCTCTTTCATATAGGCCAACATTTTCCAAAGAGATACAGTGTACCTCTAATAAACAATGAATGGACAATATTAATCTTCTGAAATATTGGTTGGGTTCCAGTATCAGCCCTTATACATTAAGCCATGTTGTCCGCAAGTCATTTATACAGCACCTTTTCAAGAGCAAAGACGTCACAAAGTGTTTCACAGAGGAGATAATACAAAAACATACAGACACACATAAAGAAAGCATAGGCATAGTACAAAACAGAATAGAAAAATTACACACACAAAGGCAAGGCTAAACAAGTAGGTCTTGAGCTGCTTTTTTCAAGGTGTCCCCAGCGTCCACAGATCTCATATCCCATCAGAGAGGGTCCCAAGGTTTAGAAGCCACAACCTCAAAAGCGCAGTCTCTTTCATTTTTAACCTGCATTCTAGGAACTACCAGCAAACCCTGATCTGAAGACCATAGAGACATGCTGGTAACGCAGGGCTGCAGTAGATCTGTCACATGACATCTTTTGGAGAACCTGGGCTGGTTTGGTTAAATTCCAGGGATGTTTTACTAAGGCAGGCAAACAGGGAGTTGCAATAGTCAGGACAGGACTGTATTAAAAAAAATTGATTAACATTTCCATCTCTGCTTGGGTCACAATGAGCCTGAACTTTGTAATGTTTCTTAGTTGGGAAAAACAAGACCGAATCAGACACTTAAATAACTCTAAATAACACTTAGTTTTACCAACCTCTGACACATAATCCACCTGAGTCTCTCAAAATAGAACTGAGAGAGATGCTCACAGAGGCAAAAAAAAGGTTGAATTTCTGAAGCTGAACTAATTCCTATATATATATAAAATGAAAATCCACAAATTGCTTCTTTTCTGCATGTTTCAAAAATAGAAAATGTGTTGAGAATCCCTGGGGTAGACCTGTGATATCTGGCAATGACAGCCTTACTGAACCAGTATCAGTGTGATTTGGAAAGGCACATCTGTCTATATTGTATATAGTATATATAGTGTCATGTCTGGAGGACATGGCACTTAGAATTAAGGCCAAACAGTTCAATCTTGGTTTCATCAGACCAGAAAACCATGTTTCTCACAGTCTGAGAGTCCTTTAGGTCCTTTTTTGCAAACTCTGTCATTTGTCTTTCCATGAGCAGAGGCTTCTGTCTGGCTACTCTGTCATAGACCCCAAATCGGTGGAGACTGCACTACATACAACCAAACTTGTATATTTTCAGACAGTGTGAGGAAATCCACACTAACAAGTGGAGATCGTAAAAACTTCTTTGAAGTGAGGAAATTATTCTGACATTTGAACCACTATGCAGCTCCCTACTCCCCTTCTCTCCCCTTTATTATGCCAGCGACAGCCAGGAACGGGCATTATGTTTTCAGATTTGTCCCTCCATACATCCATCCCGTTCTTATGAACATGATATCTCAGTAAGCCTTTTTCAAATTTCTTCAAATTTGTTACAAACATTCACTCAGGGATGACCTGATTAGAGTTTGATAGTCAAAGGTAAAGGTCACTGTCACTTCATAAAACACGCTTTTGGCCATAACTCACTCATTATGACACAATTTAAAACAAATGTCTAATAGGATAAAATGATGAAGTGATGACATTCTATATCCAAAACACTTTATTCAATGCTATAACACATGAAGGGGAGATTGTGACCATATTTCCTACAACTTGGCTGGTTGGCGGAGGCATATAACTTCAAGGCGGTAATTCCATTTAATTCATGAACCCAATTTTTATCATCCACATCACACTATCACTCCCTTCTTCTGCCTTCGCCCTAGGTTTCCAGGATGTCCATGTGATGATCTTTGTTGGATTTGGCTTCCTGATGACGTTTCTCAGGAGGTACAGCTTCGGCGCAGTGGGCTTCAACTTCCTCATCGCAGCCTTCGGCCTCCAATGGGCGCTGCTGATGCAAGGCTGGTTCCACTCCCTGGACTATAGTGACGGAAAGATCAAAATTGGAATTGAAAAGTAAGTGTTTGGTTTTATTCTCTGTGATTTAAAAGGATCCCTTCTTTTTATTCTACTTCATTTTGATGGTGGTATAGTCTACAGCTAACAAAAGACTGATATAGTATAAGCAGACACAACTGGTGGAATCTAAAGCAGGGGATGTTATTGAGGTCTGATTCTTTTATTGAGTTACTGGTGAATATGTCTGGTGGGAATACATTCCCACCTGAATGGTTTCCATAGACAAAAAAACACAGTGAGGTGGAGAAACCAGTCTGACTGATATGATACAGGCAGGTAAGATTTAGTGTTTGTGGACTCGGTGGTTGGAAGGCAAACAGAAACTCGGGCCAATGAGAAATGATGATACTGTTGAAGTTCTGCCAAGTCACCGTGTGTCAACAGATGAGTTGTGTATGTGAGTAGAGAAAAAGTGAAAGACAGAATGTGATAATGTGATACTGATCTTAAGTAGCTCTACTCTATTGGTTCACTGCCCATGAATAAATGTACCCTTGGCCAAAATAAATCTTGCCTCATATTTGACCAGCACAGATTACAGATTATCTCATATTGCCTTGGTTGTCCACTTCATTTTGGCCGTTTTCCCTCCTCAGCCTGATCAATGCTGACTTCTGTGTGGCGGGCTGCTTAATTGCCTACGGGGCAGTGCTGGGTAAAGTCAGTCCAGTCCAGCTGATGGTCCTGACACTGTTTGGGATCACATTGTTTGCTGTGGAGGAGTATATTATCCTGGATCTCATACATGTAAGTTGGAACCATTGCTGGTTATTGTTTTGATGTGATTTTAATATACAGTATGTATTGAACTTAAATTTACTCTAACTACTGCTACGACAGTTGATGCTAATATTTTCTCTCTTGAAGGCCAGAGATGCTGGAGGCTCCATGGTGATCCACACATTCGGAGGATATTATGGTCTTTCCATCTCGTGGATGCTCTATCGGCCAAATCTGGACCAGAGCAGTCGTCTGCAGGGCTCCGTCTACCACTCGGATGTCTTTGCTATGATTGGTGAGTATGATTTACAGCTTCTTTTTTTTTTTTTTTTACCCCCAGAAAAATTTCCAGTACCTACCATTCCTCTGTTTCTGTGGTTTACAAGGACCTTCGATCTCTGCTAACGCCACTGCTTTCTGCACAGGCACCCTCTTCCTGTGGATGTTCTGGCCCAGCTTCAACTCAGCCATCACAGACCACGGGGACGGGCAGCACCGAGCAGCCATCAACACCTACCTGGCTCTGGCCTCGACTGTGCTCACTACTGTGGCAATCTCGAGCCTCTTCCAGAAGCATGGAAAACTAGACATGGTAACGGCCAGCAGCCTTTGTTTTTCATGTCAGTCACGAACACTCTCATCATAAGGTTGAGCTATTATGCACCAACAATGTGGTTATTCTAGGGGGGTGTGCGCATTTATAAAGTTGGCATGACAGGTTATGCTGAAATAGATCGCCTTGATGAATTGTCAAAGAAGATGTGGATAACTTGTGCCCCACCTAAACAAGCTTTACCTTACAGTAATTGTGTGCATGTTGTGTTTTTCACCTGATACAGCGATGTGATATCAAACTGATGCAACGTTTCTTTTGTTGCCATTTTCTCTGCACCTGTGTCTCAGGTTCACATCCAGAACTCTACTCTTGCCGGAGGTGTTGCAGTGGGAACAGCAGCGGAGTTCATGCTGATGCCCTACGGATCTCTGATTGTAGGATTCTGCTGTGGTATCATCTCCACCCTGGGATACATCTACCTCACGGTGTGGTATTTCTTTCCTGCCCTTGATCACTGCATTTACTGATCCTTAGTCCCAGTCTGTGCTTTCCATAACTTAAATCAAAGTAAGCTGTTCAGATTTTTTAGTAAACTCAGCTAATCCTAATCGATACGATACGTCTCTCTCAGCCGTTCATGGAAAAGCACCTGAAGATCCAGGACACGTGTGGAATCCATAACCTCCATGCCATGCCAGGAGTTATCGGAGGAATTGTGGGAGCCATTACTGCTGCAGCTGCAACAGAGTCAGTTTATGGCACTGAAGGGTGAGTGGTCCTTGCTTACAAATAGGAAACAAGCAGCCAGGAGTCAGGGCTGCTTTCATTTTTTAAATTACATTGATTATAAGATATAAGATTAAAAAACAGTAAAGGGATAGAAAAAGAAAGTAGTAACATTTATATTCTTGTGGCAGAACAACATTGTGAGTTCCACTTTTTTTATTTTTTTATTTATTAAAGGCTGATTAACACCTTTGACTTTGAGGGTGCTTTCAAAAGCATGACACCCTCACGACAGGGTGGTCACCAGGCGGCAGGCCTCTGTGTCGCTATCTGCTTCGGTGTAGGCGGAGGCATCATTGTTGGTAAGGAGTGACCACAGTTCGACCATATGACTGAAAATGTACAGTCTGTATGCTAATAACATTGGCATTATTGTGTTTGAACAAGATGGTTGTGTTTGCATACAGTGTATGACAGACCATGTGTGTTGGGATGTATTTGTATTCTTCTTAGGTTGTATCTTAAGACTGCCTATTTGGGGAGATCCTGCAGATGACAACTGCTTTGACGATGAGCCCTACTGGGAGGTGAGAGACAAATCTTTACAGCCATAAAGATGTTCTGCAGTTTGAAACAGGAATTGTGAATTTGCAGAAAATTAACGCCAGATATCTTAAAGATTATAAAGGTTTTAATGATTTTTGGTTGAGTGGTGTTTTTATGACATTTGAGAGATACAGTTCGGTTCAGTGTCTACATAACATATCTTAGATTCTACATGTATATAATTATGAAAACAGACTTTGATTTGACAGGTTAGACATACTTCTGCTTACATGCTGGTCTTGGCCGGACACATGACACTGTTTTGTATTCCTTGAACAGAGGCTGTTTTTCCACTTATGTCCATCACTGAATGGGCTACCGTCATTCTACCACCTCTGTTTACAAAAGAAACAGCTCATGATATTCCATTTTCTGACATTCTGACATAACAGCTTCCTGATGATGAAGAGAGCATCCCACCAGTCCTGCAGTACAACAACCACATGCGGAACAAGGATGTGTAAGTGTCTGTTTAGTTTGTCTGAAAACAGAGTTCTGGTTATGGAGATATGCTGTTCTCATACCAAACAAGCGATGCAGGCAGTGCTTTTGCTGTTGGGAAATGTGTTGCATTCAGCGTCCTCTTGGTGGCAGCACATCCCAACTTGCAGAGATTACATGAGACCGATTGTAATTCTGCTCTTTGTTGGGAATTTCTGCTCATAGTGTTGAATACCGTATGAAGACACAGTGAGGATGTGGCTGTAGACAGCATAGCGCTGCTGACAAACAGGCCTGCGCTGTCCCCATCGCTCAATGTGGGCCGAAATGCTGACGCAGACCCTGCGCTCTGTGCTTCCAAGTGAAGCTCACCTGTGCTTTTTGTTGATAGGGGTTTTCACAGCACAGCTCTGCATGTGCAGCTCTTCAAAGTGACCTTGAAGTTTTGCAACATAAGTCACGTTTACTGTGGAAATGAAAATGATACACCTAGAAAAACAAAACAAAACCATGGATTACACAAGATTTTATATTTTAATGAATGAAATCTACCCAGTACAGTGATATGATACAGAATAATGAGCACAGGAACATGTCCAAGCCGAATCTGTGTGAATAAGAAGGTGTTTTTAATTAATGCAGGCAATAGAAGAAAATAAATAAATCAACCCATTATTAAAGAAATATTTGACTATACTAGTAGTATAGTCAGATATTTCTATAGTAGTATAGTATACAGTGAGCTACAACTTGTCTATAAAGTGGCATTGTTTTTCACTCATTATGTAATGCTTTTTTTTCCCCCCAGAGTGGAGTCAAATTTCACCATGGAGCAAAGTGACCCCAGGCCTCGATCCTGATGGAGCTCAGTCTTTATAACACGTGGGTCATTTGTCGGACAGAAATATTCATTTGATACAATTATTCCTCACCAATCAAAACCAGTTATTTTTCATAAAGTGAATATATGATGGTCGTTGTCTTTTTTTTTTGGTTGGATCGTTTGAAGTGGAAAAAAAATCTGCCAGTGGGATGAGATCTTTCCTCTTTCCACAATATATTTATTTTCATTTTAAATCCACAAATATTCAATAAAGTATTTGTATTAAATATAATATTAAATGAGTGACATTATCTTCTAGTGGAATATTTTTTCCTAATTTTAACATTGGGAGGCAGGTAAATTTGCTGAGAGAGCTGCAGCATGTTTCTCTTGTTTCACATAAAGCAAGAAGCAACGACTCAGTGCTGGACCAAACTAACTTAAACGTGACTGTGACAACATAACCATGGTTCCTTTAAGTGCTTGTGAGGGAAATATTTGAGACCTTGTTTTGTATTACGTTTTCTTCAGACCCATTTGAGTTGCACTTTAAGGATTTTCCGCTGGACCTTTCACATCTTAGTTTTTCCTGTTTTAAATGGTTTCTGTGAAGTGAAGTGAAGGCACAGACAAGCAGGTTTATGCTGACAGCTTAAGTGTTTGTTTTCCTTATTGCCATTAGATGCATTCAAATAGCACTTAATTTTGTGTGTCTTCATCAAAAGCTTTTACACTGAGATATAATTAGTTATGTATCATGTTATTGATTATGTATTTTTAAAATAAGAGCTTTGACCTGAGTTATCCTGCGACTTAAAGGATATTTGGTAAAACTTTACTTTAACCCTCCGTTTTTATAGCATTTATAGCAACTACAAACATTTAATAGTGGTTTATAACACACTATAATATGGACATTTTTAAGTGTTTATTAATGCACAGTATTTTGTCAACAATTCTAACTTATTCTAACGAGTTAATAGACACCTCAACATTACACACGCATTATAATGTGTTATAAACAATGTATAAAACGTTTATATACTGCTTATAAATGCACATGGGGAGGTAGTAATAAAGTATTTACCATATATTTTTATCCATATTATGGATCTGAAAATTAATGATTTTGTCAGAAGCTGATATTTGTACATTTAGACATTGTACAAGGTAGAATATTATTGTCATAATGTTTTGAAAAGTGAAAAGTTTGTTAATGGTTAATGTAATTATCAAAATTAATAAAGCATTGTTAATAAAGCATTACGTATGTAGTACCTACTTTATTTGAATTTGACAAATCGAGAATATTCAAAACTTTAAAAATACAATACCAATTACCAATAAAAAGCTGAAGAGGAAGAAAATCTCCCTCATTTAAGAGCCAGCAGTGACTCCTCTCTATTGAGGTCAGACTGAGGGTAAAGTTCACACCCTTATTGCTCTCTCGGGACACTGTGGTGACCAAAAACAAACCAGACACCAGCCTAGTCATTGTGACCTCGAGTCAAAGGATAGCAAAAGAGCAAGGTCACTGACAGGGCTGCACACAGATGCTGGAGTCAATCGTTTTAAATGGAGTAATAGAGAGAATTCCTGCGGGTTGGTGCACTAAATATTGTTGCTGTTTTCGCAAACAGGATGGATGGATATGTGAAGGAGTAGAAACCATTTCCCAATAGATGGAACATGATGCTTTGTTTGTCTATAAATACAGAAGATAATTTCACTGCACAGTTTATTTCTGTATCTGATAAACGGCCTGTCTGTCCATCATTTTCTGATGACGGCTGTAACTTCCATGTGCTCTGTCTCCTGTCCACCTGGCTGCAGCATTTCGTTTGGCCGAAGGCAGCAGCAGCTCATGGTGGGAGTGTGGATGATTCCCACACATGAGTAGCAGCGAGGAATCCATCTCCTCATCCAGTCTCCTCGCTAACAAAGGCAGGCTTAGTGCTGTTTTCTTTTGTCATCAGTAACGTGTTTGAGTAAAGGAGGTAATGGTGCCACAAGTGCTCCAATTAAACGAGATAGCAGCCCTGCTGCGTAAGAAAGGCGTCCCCTGTTGCCCTCGACCCCCCCCCCACGCCCCACCCCCACCCCCCAATCCATACACACACACATATACACACACACACAGACACACACACACACACACACACACAGGCCGGGCCTCTTCTCATCCTAACCCCATGCAGTTCCCGCCGCAACTCTACTCATGTTTATTCATCAGCCACTTAAAGGGCAAATGCAGAGGCCTGTTAAAACTAACTCAGACTTATTTTGAAACGATACCAGGCCTTCCCCTCTCTGAGGTTGAGGGAGCCGGGCCTTGTGGCATCGTGACAGCCATGTTTGAAGACGTTTACCTTCCTCTGGACTGGAGGCTGACCGCAGATGTGACTTCCACAAGGGAAAACGCAAAGTGTACAGGGATGGTAGGGGAGGAGGGAAACCGAGAGGCCACAGAGAAAGTGAGATGGAAAAACTTTAGGAAGCAAGGGGGCATGAAAAGGGGGAGGGACGGAGAGAGAATGAGGCCTCACTTTCACTGCTGATGACTGACTGCCTGCCATACGGGCTCAATCACGATCTTTGATTGACAGGTCGAGGGAAGGAGAGGGTGGGAAAGAGGGTGCAGGAAGAGAGTTTAGAATGGGAGCCGCACAAAACATACTCCCATACAGGGGGCCACGGAGACGCTCATTAATGATAAAGAACATACCAGGAAAAGCATGTTTTCTCTGCATGCCAGCGATGTTGTTTGTGGGTTGAGATTAGTTTGTAATCTTCTATACGTGGCGATGTAAAGTGTACAGAACACTACAGGGCTAAACACAGCGTGGGAGGTCGTGTTAGAGCACCTGGCTGTGGCTATTTGCCTTTTTGTTCTTTTATTTTTCACCATTGTTCTAAGAAAACAATGTAATACGTCTAATGGTGTTGAGACGTGCCTACTCATCTGATCATTTTAATCTCACAGTTTACAGATATGTGTCAGTCACTCTGCAGTAAAACCCCACTGAATTCACTTTACAGTTACGAGGTACAGCGGTTAGAGAAGTATTCAGGGATCCATGTTCACTCCCTTATAAAGGGAGCTGTAAAAGCCCCTATTGAAAGCATTCAAAGGTCCATAAAACTGTTCATAAACTATTCAAGCCCTTACTCTTTTCTCTCTTTACTTAATCTGCTCACGTTTTGTGCAGCTTCAGTGTCCCCTACAGGTTACTTCTCAGCAGGTGCATCTCACTTCCAAAACTGTTCGGACTGTTTCGATCTGGACTGTGTTTTTGATGCCCAATCCTGGCGCTCAGTGAGTACCAAGAAGCTCATATACTGTATTTCCCACCATCAGTCCTCCAACCCATCACCAGTGGTGGAACGTAACTAAGTGCATTTACCAAGTGCAAATTTGATGAACTTGTACTGAACTTGAATATAACTACTTTAAGCTACTGCATACTTCTAATCCTTTACATTTCAGAGGAAAATATTGTACTTTTTACTCACTGCTTATATTTGACAGATTTATTTAATGGTTACTGTACAGGTTACTGCAAAAGGTCTAATCAGTTCATGAAACATGATGCGTGGCCAATAGTGAATAAAACTGAAACATGCATAGATGCTAATCCATCAATATGAATCATACACTATATAATGCATTATGTGTACGGTTTGTGATTAATACTTCTTTATTTTTACCGAAATAACATTGTGAATGCAGAACTTCCCCTTGAAAAGGAGTCTCAAGTCTCTGAACACTTCCACCGCTGGACTCACATGAGGCCATATTGGGAGCCACAAGATTGTAATGATGTCTAATCAGTTACAGAGGTCTTTTTTTTTTTTGCAGAACCGGTTTGTTAACTTTTAGTACTTTACATACATTTTGTTGATAATATTTATGTGGAGAATTTACAACGTACTTCTTGTTGTTGTTGTACTATTTTTACAAGCCCTGTGATCGACCGGTGACCTCTCCAGGCCTATTCTCACCCAATGCCAGCTAGGATTTGCTCCATCACCCCCCATGAACGTAAGTGATACGGATGGATGGATGGATGGATGGATAGATGGGTAGTACTTTTACATGAGTAAATGATCTGAGTATTTCTTCCACCACTGCCCATCTGTGTTTTTTTTTTTTTTTCGCTATTCTGTTTGCAACCTGCCAATGAACCGTGCAGCTCTGGCCGACCCAGGTATCCCTGGGCCTCCCCACGCCACTAACTGTCCACAGAGGCTGCTTAAGTGTCCCTATCGGACCACAGTGGAGAGGAACAGCAGATTAACCATGATCCTATCCGCTCACTGCTAGCCCCTTCATACGCTCCGTTACACCAGCATTTAAAAGGAGGAGGGGACGCCATTCAGGCCCATGATATGAATCCCAGACGCAGGGACAAGAACAGAGCTTTCACCCCCGTTTCACAGAAAAGACCCCTTTCTGGCACCCTCTAATTCTGGTTGCTACGGGCTTCTGGGTTCAATGGTGGACTCCTGTTGTGAGGGGACAAAGCCTCTCAGTCATCCGGCCATGGTTGCTAGGGGAGGCAGAATGTATGGGGAGGGACGGGCTGCCGTTGTCCCAGACGAAATGTCTCTCTTAAGGCCGCCGAGATCTGGTGATTGACAGGTGGCTACACGCTCCACTGCAGATCACCCGGGAGGTCTGGGAGGCCTTATATCTGTGACCGTGTGTGTGTGTGTGTTAGTGTGTGACAGTGTGTGTGTCTGGTTATGTTGGTTGGCAGGGTGAACAGGGGGGTAGGGGGCATACAGCCTACAAGGTCTCTATGAAAGTGGCACCGATTATTACCTGTAGAGGGAGCTGCTTCTTCTTTAAGTAGAAGCTCAATCCTGCTGTAACAATCGCCTGTGTTGGTGTGTTTGATGCACCTGTCTGGCAGTGGGGTAAGAAATTACTCTCAAGTAGAAGTACCGCTACAACAATGTAAAAACACTCAAGTAAAACTCCTTCATTCAAAATCCTACTTCACTGTGTAGAATGATCTATGAGTTTGACACTAGAAGGTTGTCTTTACATTCATTTGCTGAAGGGGGAACAGTTCTCCGTGCTCAATTTAAATCTGTCTATTCAGATAAAAATATTCAAATATAAATATGAATATTTGTGGATTCACAGATTCAGGATTTTTCAATGAAGAAGACGGAGAAGTTTCAGCGAGCCAATGCTCAACTTAAAAAAAAACAACAAAAAAAAAAAAACAACACATCAGACAAATTATCATTCCAAGCAGAGAAGGGATGAGCCTTTAAACATTTCCAGAGGCAAACTTTAAGTAAAAGTACATGGATATGATCAGAATGTACTCAAAAACCTTCAGAGAAAAAGTCCCTATAACTGCTACTATGTAATGACATTATTAGATTCTACTGTCAATGCAGAGGCAGCATTTTACTGTTGTTGCTATTTGAGGTGAAGCAAGTTTTAATTACTTTAAATATTGTTGGTTATTTTAGTCCAGTTGGTCCTAACCAAGATGTCGGGCACCTGCAATGGGTTAGAAAATAAATCAGAGCGATCTTAATGTGATTAATGTGGTAGGAAAGAAGGATAAGCAACATTCTTCCTCACAAATAAGGGCTCACAAGCCAAAAAATGACAGCCAGCGGTTTAATATGTAACAATATTGTATTTTCTAAGCTTATCACTGTGTCTCCAAATGCCTATTCACAGTATTTTCTAGATAAAGTTTATTAGACTGAGAATAAGAATCGTAAATAACTACAAAGTGAATCTATATATACACATAATAATGTATAGAATGTCACATACAAGCATGTATACTCCAGAGCTCAATATTCAGATATTGGATCATTATAAACAAAAGTTCCCAGTTGTGTTTGAGTAGACGTGAACAATAAACATTATTGAATGACCAGATTAATGTAGGTAAATAAGTCATGTAACGATTCCAATAAAACGAGCAGTTAGACTTGAAGCCTGATGCGTTACTGTGAGAATTAAAGATAAAAGCTTTGGTGCAAATGAGACGCAGACAGAGCGTATGTGTGTGGCTTTGTGTTTATCTGAATCTAAAGGATTAGTGATATATATTCAGATTTGTGTCTCTCCTCCTCCAGTGTGGGAACTATCGCCCCGCCGGCCTCTAGACATCAGTGGTCCCAGTTTCCTCCTCCAGGGCCACAGAGGTGAGTGGGAACAGACATGTTAGGATGTGG